AGATTGCCTTTAATGCACATCACATTTTGGTTTAATTATATAACAAAACATTTTCTTGCTGTTCTATTATGGTGGAAATTTTTTTGGGGATTGGAGATAATTTTTCTTTTCTCTCTCTTTTTTTTTTTTTTTTTTTTAAGATGGAGTCTTGCTCTGTTGCCAGGCTGGAGTGCAGTAGTGCGATCTCAGCTCACTGCGGTCTCCACCTCCCAGGTTCAAGTGATTCTCCTGCCTCAGCCTCCCGAGTAGCTGGGACTACAGGCGCGCCACCACACTCAGCTAAGTTTTTTATATTTTTAGTAGAGATGGGGTTTCACCATGTTGGCCAGGATGGTCTCCATCTTCTGAATTCATGATCCACCCACCTCGGCCTCCCGAAGTGTTGGGATTATAGGCGTCAGCCACCGTGCCTGGCTGAAAATTTTTATTTTAGTCATGTTTTCCATACATTGTTTAGAAGTACCAGATGTTATATACAAAGTGCCTATCAGGCTTCACTTGAGAGAAAAACCTTCATTCTCAGGATTCCAGCCACAACCCACAATTGTACGACAAAGTGCAGCAAGGTGCTCCCCAAATCTGCAAACAAAATAGTCTCTCTATTTGGGATCTACAATCCCTTCTAGAGCAGTTAGACTAGATTTCTACAAAAATAACTTCAGAACAGCAATCAGTTATTTCACCTCCTTCAGTGCTCCTGTCATCTTCAGATCTGACACAGATTCAGAGATCATGGGGCCCATAAACCCAACCAGGATCATACATATGCATTGATTAAACTTGAGAACTTCAGTTCTCTCCCTCCTCCCCTTGGCCCAATGCCCACAAATGTGCATAGCTCACCAGCCCTCCAAGACCTAAATGTGCAGTTCCAAATTTTGAATTTATTTTCTGGGATTTGAGAGAAGAAAAGAACTTTTATTTGAGAAATACATGTTCTTTTAATGATCAGACCCAGAGTCTTGTTAAAATGAGACCACAGTGATATACTGTTCCCATCTTTGAACTGTTGGTCTTTTGAAATTGCTTGCTGTTGGCACAAGTGGCTATAAATTAACCTAATAATGCCACACTGGACACCATAACCCACACCCAATAGCTTAAAAATGTATATAACCAATCACTAACCAATGTTACTATTGTAAACCAATAAGAATTCCTGACAACTTTCTATCAGTTCCCTCTCTGCATTCCTTTTTCCTTTACAAATATACTTGTAACTGGAGTGTATATTCAGGGCAGCTTTATACTCCAGGATTGCAATATTCAAGCTTTGGCCCCAAAACTCTCTACTTATATTATGTTTACCCTAGTATTTCCTTTTAGGTCAAAATATTCTTTAGAATGTGTTGAAGGAACCTCACTGAGGGGATCTCTCCTCTGGTTTTACTGTGCTTGCTCTAATCCCTAAGAATGCAGAAGCACATTGATCCCACCTAGAATCTGCATATAAAAGTCGGCCTCTGCCTAGGATTCCCAACACTGGACCAGACTTTGGGTTGAAGACATACGAAAAACTCACGGAAGACATTTTCTGCATCATGAGAGGCCAACATAGACATCTTAAGCCCCGTTTTTAGAGTGGAGCCCTTTGAGTTTTCCAGATCTTATTCAGTGACCTGCTACAGCTGTGTGAGAGGCTTCTGATGGGAACAAAATCCTGTGGCAGAATCTGTAAGTGTAACAAGCATCTTAGCAGTGGGAGGTAAGGCCACAAAATATCCAGAGCCTTAATGACAACCATAATCACAAGTATGCCTTCCTCCTGTATACTGTGTTATGGGAGTAGAGTACTTTTGTCCTTTTCCTTACCTCAGAGTTAGCTGATCATGGGCAGGGGATATCACATCTGGAGCCAAGATATGCAGGTCCACTAGGACAGCTCCATTTTCTATTTGCACCCCACAAAGTCAGCCTGAGTGTCTCCTCCATGGATCACTATGGGGGCATCAACCAAAGGTCACTGGGGACACTCTCACCAGCATCTTTGAGTAATGAGACATTTGAGGATGTCCTGTGCAGACTGGGGTCAGTCTGACAAGAAGGTCTAATTCTGCTCCCATTTCAGAGGAAGATTAAGTGACTCATCCAGGGTTTGTGCCTCCCCTCACAGAAAGAATCTCCTTGGTTTTTACCCAGATAAGAATTGCTCCAGTTTTCTGGTTCTTTGGTGAAAAATGAGGAGATCTGGAGACCCAAACTGATCAATAACCTAATTGCTTCTATTTCATATGGTCATTAGAAAAAGACATAAAGCAGTCATGGTCCCTACTATCAAGGAACTTGCAGTCTGGAGCACATGAATAAATGGTTGAATTCAGCATCGTGTGTTCAGTACAAAGATGGACACTGTACAGGAGACTTAAGCTTCATTTGGGTTACTTCCCTTTTATTGTTTTGTGAGTTTTGATGCCACCACCTGATCAGCTGTTCATTGGCAGAAGAGAAATTGTTGTTATTACTATTCATATTGTTTTTACCTTGCTAAGAATAAATAATTAGTTTCTAATATAATTGGTCTAGAAAAACATAAGGGTTTTGGTTGAATTCCTTGCTATTGTGTGTTATAAAATAGGGAATTAGCTAAAATAGATTAAGATACAGAAACTCGGCCGGGCGCGGTGGCTCAAGCCTGTAATCCCAGCACTTTGGGAGGCCGTGACGGGCGGATCACGAGGTCAGGAGATCGAGACCATCCTGGCGAACACGGTGAAACCCAGTCTCTACTAAAAAGTACAAAAAAACTAGCTGGGCGAGGTGGCGGGCGCCTGTAATCACAGCTACTCGGGAGGCTGAGGCAGGAGAATGGCGTAAACCCGGGAGGCGGAGCTTGCAGTGAGCTGAGATCCGGCCACTGCACTCCAGCCTGGGTGGCAGAGCAAGACTCCGTCTCAAAAAAAAAAAAAAAAAAAAAAGATACAGAAACTCTGGGAATCAAATTTCTCTTCGGCAGGCTTAGAAAAGACAAAACTGAAAATACTTACAGGCATAGAGAGCAGATGCCTAGGGCCCACCTTCTGTCCCATCTCTGTCCAGATCCACCCTCTGCTGAACCTTTTCCAGGTCTGACCCCACACTGAAATCTCTCACAGAACTGCTTAGAGAAGATCAGAGTTTGGGGTGGCTAACCCTACTGCCTCTCCGGAGCTGGTGCTCACAATTTCCTGAAACCCAAAAGCAGATAAATGGGGAAAAGCGATATACTTTTGTGCCTTAAATTGTTTTTTATAAAATTAAAATTAGTGTTTCTAGGGACATCCTATCCAGCAACCTGTTCCCCATCTCTACAGTTTCAGTGGTTTTTTCACAAGTTTCAAAGTAACTACAAACACAAAAATAAAAAATTCCTCTGAATTGCACTTAACTCTTTCTTTCTGTATATGTCCCATCTATCTATATTGAGCTATTATTTTACGCATTTAAAAAACAAAAAAACAAAACCAATAAGTAAACAGAAGAGGAAATAGAAATGCTGGGGCCCTGCATTTAAATCCTGGGAAGTATAGGACTACTTTTCAGGATGTTATAGTATTAACACACGTAATGTGAACTTCCCAGCACACTGCTCTGTGACATACTTCTGAGCACATACTACATGCTCCATAAAGATTGCATTAATGCATATACACATTTTTCAAATGCAGACTTACTCAGACTTGCCACCATCTTCCGCCTCTGTAAACATTAAAGGGCCTGCAGAGAATGCCATATTTCAAGATGATGATTGGTGGTCCTGTCTTCGGATGTAAAGTATTTGTGTTATGATAAGGGTGTTGCAGTGAGGGACTCATACTGTGATTGCTTTTTCTAGCTGAGTGGTATAATGGGTGTAGGAGCAGAAGCGTCAGCAATAAGAAGACTTGCAATAACAGGAGACTTGCAATAAGAAGCTAATTCATGGACCCTTCTCAAACCTGCAGAATTTTGTTACTTACAGTGAGGTTTTGAATACCAAATAATTTATATGCACATTGAACCTTAGAGGCAATGCTTGGCCGAGTGACTCTCAGCCCAGTCTTGCTGTAGAATCACGTGGACAGTCTGAAGAGAAACCATAACCTGTGCCCTCCCCACAGATCCTGTCTGTTTTACTAGGTGGAAAAATTTCTGTTTTTGGCCAGGCGCTGTGGCTCATGCCTGTAATATCAGCACTTTGGGAGGCCGAGGCGGGCGGATCACGAGGTCAGGAGATCAAGACTACCCTGGCTAACACAGTGAAACCCCATCTCTACTAAAAATACAAAAAAAATTAGCCGGGCATGGTGGCAGGCACCTGTGGTCCCAGCTATTCAGGAGGCTGAGGTAGGAGAATGGCGTGAACCTGGGAGGCAGAACTTGCAGTGAGCTGAGATTATGCCACTGCATTCCAGCCTGGGCGACAGAGCAAGACTCCGTCGCAAAAAAGAATTCCTGGTTTTTAAATTGAATTCCTCACATGATTCTACCACAAGGCCAGGGTCAAGCATGAGGGCTTCCAGATACTTTAATGAGAAGTCAGTTCATCCTTTGTTCTAGGAAGTCACAGGGCCTGCTCTGCTTGGTTTTGGTAGGGCATGTCAGTGTAGCCCATATTTCCACTGCAGCAACAGAAATTGCTGGCATGCCCTCCTTTTTCCTCAAGAGTTATAGAATAATTTAGAGAACATTACTGTGTTGAAAGTTATTTTATCAGATAACTCCATTCAGTCTTGTAAGCCAGAACTAGTTCTCTTAACTCATTTCACCTGTAGTCAAATTAAGGCCTCACAGCCGGGTGCGGTGGCTCATGCCCTGTAATCCCAGCACTTTGGGAGGCTGAGGCAGGCGAATCACCTGAGGTCAGAAGTTGGAGACCAGCCTGGCCAACATGGTGAAACCCTGTCTCTAACAAAAATACAAAAATTAGCCGGGCATGGTGGTGGGTGCCTGTAATCCCTGCTAGTCAGGAGGCTGACGCAGGAAAATCACTTGAGCCTGGGAGGTGAAGGTTGCAGTGAGCCGAGACCGCGCCGCTGCACTCCAGCCTGGGCAACAGAGCAGGACTCCATATTAAAAAAAAAGAAGAAGAATTCTGTCACTTGATAAATATGTATTTTCAGGAGCTCTTAACATTCAGGGATATGGCCATAGAATTCTCTCCAGAAGAGTGGAAATGTCTGGACCCTTCTCAGCAGAATTTATATAGAGATGTGATGTTGGAGAACAGAAACTTGGTCTCCCTGGGTGAGGATAACTTTAATATGTAATTCCTAATACTTTTTCAGAATTTCATTTTCTTCCCTTGTATAACATCTCTTAGGAGCTTTTGCTTTGCATGAATTAATTTCAGTTCCTTCATGAAAAGTTTGGGAGTTTGGTGGTATAAAAAATAAAATCTTTAGGATGTTTCATCTTTACGTAAACCTTCTTTTGAGCTAATTTGTTTCCTTCACTCTAGGCTAGTGGTAATTCTATAAATTAATGATATAAAATAATTGTCTTTCACATCTTAACATGCAATTTGCACTACTTATTTTTGATTCAGTAGTACTTGGTAGTGGAACTTAAAGCCCACAGATTTAAAATACTTAAATATTCTAAAGATTCTGTCAGAAAACAATTTTTGGATTAATTTTCTAGAATCTTCCCTAATTTCTCTATTCTACTTAGCATAGTACTAGGTTGGTAATTGGAGTATCCCCAGCAATAGTCATGTTAATTTTTTAAAAATAAAACAGGTGTTACTATCTCTAACCCAGACCTGGTCACCTGTCTGGAGCAAAGAAAAGAGCTCTACAATTTCAAGATACATGAGACAGCAGCCAGACCCTCAGGTAGGTGAGAGTGAATGGAGGAGAGGACACAGGCAAGGAGGCCAAAAGTCAAGAAGGAAGCCAGGCCTTAAAATGTAGTTTGGGAGGCTGAGCACTGTGGCTCATGCCTGTAATCCCAGCACTTTGGGAGGCTGAGGCAGGTGGATCACCTGAGATCAGGAGTTCAAGACCAGCCTAACCAATATAGTGAAACCCTGTCTCTGCTAAAAATACAAAAATTAGCTGGGTGTGGTGGCTTGTGCCTGTAATCCCAGCTACTCAGGATGCTGAGGCAGAGAGAATTGCTTAAAAACCCAGGAGGCAGAGGTTATGCTCAGCTGACATCACGCCACTGCACTCCAGCCTGGGCAGTATCGAGCTAGACTCCATTGCAAAAAATAAATAAGTAAATACATGTAGTTTGGGAAGCTCTGTGACAAAATAATTTCCAAAAAGGCTGCATTTTTTCTCATAGGGTCATCTTATGTCCCATGCTCTTAAATCCAAGAGTTCTGTTTTTCCTTTCGTATCTCCCTTCAAGTTTACAGGGAGAGCCGGTGTCCACTTTATCACTTACAAAGGGCTGCATGGTCTGACTGCTGTTCATTGCTTTTGGGGACCTGGGAATATTTGTATGATTGAAGAGCTCTATGTTAAAGTTTTTTTTTGTTTTTTGTTTTTTTCCAAATACTGTTTTTGCATCATGTCTAAAATGTGTAAGGTGAGTAGTGGACATATTGGGATTTGGTTCAGAAATCCCAGGAACACCAGGGACAGATGTTGCATCTTTTCTGCTTGGTGATTTTTAATCCTATAGAGGTTGCAAATGTAATTCTACAAAAAAATTCTTACTCAGCAATTTTATCAGAACAATAAGCATTTTCCTAAATATGAAAAAATGTAATTTTATTTTACTTCAAAATGTTATTGTTTTAATATAAACTGAGATTTCTAATTTAAACTCTACTTTTGCAAGTTTTCAAATTATTTAAAGCATGGGTTTCCAACCTTTGGCTTCCTTGGACCACCACATTGGAAGAAAAATTGTCTCGGCCACACATAAAATACAGTAACATGGCCGGGCATGGTGGCTCACACCTGTAATCCCAGCACTTTGGGAGACCGAGGCGGGCAGATCATGAGGTCAGGAGTTAGAGACCAGCCTGGCAAGCATGGTGAAACCCCATCTCTACTAAAAATACAAAAATTAGCTGGACATGGTGGTGCATGCCTGTAATCCCAGCTACTTGGGAGGCTAAGGTAGGAGAATTGCTTGACCCCGGGAGGTGGAAGTTGCAGTGAGCTGAGATCGTGCCACAGGCACTCCAGCCTGGGCAACAGAGCAACACTCCGTCTAAAAACAAATAAAAATAATAAAAATAATAAAAATTATGCTAACACCAATAATAGCTGATGAACATTAAAAAAAAAAAAAAAAAAAGGTTTGCAAATAATTTTTGTGATATCCACCACCACAGATAAGTAAAAATGTCCTCACATTCAAAGGGTTGGCCAGCACTGAATTTCTTAAATGTGCTGTGTCATTAACCAGCTTAGAACATTGCTAAGTGTATATTAAACTCTCAATTGTTACATTATTTCTTAATAACTATTATCTTTTAATTTTGTCTTAGTAGGAAGCCTACTGGAATTCTGTTATTGAAATCTATCTATATATAAAAATGTGTGTTTCACACACACAAACACCTATGTAAGTTTTATACGTGTATAATAAATTCTTACTTAACTTTGCTGATAGGTTCTTGGAAACAGTAAGCAAAGCAACATATTAAGAAAACTAATTTTACCAGAGTTTAGTTAATACAAGAGATATGTTTGCATGACATATAGCAACATTGTTCATTTAAAGATGCAGTTTTTTTTTTTTTTTTTTTTTTTTTGAGACGGAGTCTTGCTCTGTCACCCAGGCTGGAGTGCAGTGGCCGGATCTCAGCTCACTGCAAGCTCCTCCTCTCGGGTTCGCGCAATTCTCCCGCCTCAGCCTCCCGAGTAGCTGGGACTACAGGCACCCGCCACTTCGCCCGGCTAGTTTTTTTGTATTTTTTTAGTAGAGACGGGGTTTCACCGTATTAGCCAGGATGGTCTCGATCTCCTGACCTCATGATCCGCCCGTCTCGGCCTCCCAAAGTGCTGGGATTACAGGCTTGAGCCACCGCGCCCGGCCAAAGATGCAGTTTTCAAGAACCTATTTTGAACATAAAGTGAGGGCTTACTGTACATCTCTGTGCGACCTGGATTTTTCTGATAAATAAAAATTGTATAACTATTAATGTGTACAGTGTAATGATTTGATATGTTTATACGTTGTAAAATAAAATATAGTCAAGTTGATGAACACATCTATTACCTCAGGTAGATAACCAATTTTTTTGTAGTAAGAACACTTAAAGTCTACTGTTGTAGCAAATTGTAAGCATACATTACAGTGTTACTAACTATAAACAATGCTATTTTGCTGATCTAATGCTGATGTACTTTAGATTTTTCAGAGTTACTCAACTTATAACTAAAAATTGGTATTCTTTGAACATCTCCTTATTTTCCACCCTCAGGCACTAACAATCACCATCAATCAATGTTAAAGTTTTTTTTTGTTTGTTTTATTTTGTTTTTGAGACGGGGAGCCTCACTGTCACCCAGGCTGGAGTGCAGTGGCGTGATGTCCACTCACTGCAAGCTCCGCATCTCGGGTTCACCCCATTCTTCTGCCTCAGCCTCCCGAGTAGCTGGGACTAGAGGCACTCGCCACCATGCCCAGCTAATTTTGTTTTTATATTTTTAGTAGAGACAGGGTTTCACCATGTTAGCCAGGATGGTCTCTATCTGACCTCGTGATCCACCCACCTCGGCCTCCCAAAGTGCTGGGATTACAGGTGTGAGCCACTGTGCCCAGCCAATCAATGTTAAAGTTGTTTAAGGTTATACTTAAGTTTTACAATTGTGTTTTCTATTACTGTGAAAAATGACACTAAAATTTTCACATTGAATATAGATAACTTATGATAATATGGTACTTTGACAATATTAGTTATTCTAATGAAATAGGTTTCTATTTATTTGTGTCTACTGCAATTTCTGTCATTAATATCTTATTGTATTTAGTGTATTCATATTTCATTGGTTAAATTTACTTTGATTACATTTTTTATATTTATACTATTGCAAATGAAAATTGTTTCTTCCTTTTTTGGGAAGGTTTGTTGTTACTATTTGGAAATGCAACAAATATTTTTATGTTGGGCCAGGTCCAGTGACTCATTTCTGTAATCCCAGTACTTTCAGAGGCCAAGGCTGGTGGATCACTTGAGCATAGGAGTTTAAGATGAACCTGGGCAACAGAGTATTAACTCCAAAAATCTGAGATGGGTCTCAGTTAATGTGGAAAGTTTATTTTGCTGGCCAGGCACGGTGGCTCATGACCGTAATCCCAGGACTTTGGGAGGCCGAGGCGGGTGGATCAAGAGATCGAGACCATCCTGGCCAACATGGTGAAACCCCATCTCTACTAAAAACACAAAAAATAGCGGGGCGTGGTGGCACGCACCTATAGTACCAGCTACTTGGGAGGCTGAGGCAGGAGAATTGCTTGATCCCAGGAGGTGGAAATTACAGTGAACTGAGATTGCACCACTGCACTCCAGCCTGGCGACAGAGCAAGACTCTGTCTCAAAAAAAAAAGGAAAAGAAAAAGAAAGAAAAAAAGTTTATTTTGTCAAGGTTGAGGACACATGCCCCTGACACAGCCTTAGGAAGTCTTGATGACATGTACCCAAGGTGGTTTGGGCACAGCTTGGTTTTACACATTTTAAGGAGACATGAGACATAAGTCAATCTATATAAGATGTACATTGGTTCCATCCTGAAAGGCAGGACAACTCAAGCAAGGGATGGGGTTTCTAGGTCACAGTACATGAGAGAGAGACTGCTGTATTCTTTTGAGTTTCTGATTTGCCTGTCCAAAGGAGGCAATCAGATGTCCATTTATCTCAGTGAGCAGAGGGATGACTTTGAATAGAATGGGAGGCAGGTTTGCCCTAGGCAGTTCCCAGCTTGACGGTTTAGCTTAGTGATTTTGGGGGCCCTAAGAGTTCCAAGATTTATTTTCCTTTCACAAGATTATGTATCCTGATGCTTTAATGAATACATTTATTGAGTTTTTGTTTATTTACTCTAGAGTTATATGTATATATACACACACATATATAGGCATGATTATATAATCTCCAAACAGCAGTAATGTTTTTATTTCTTTCCCAAAGCTGGAGAGCTTTGTTCAGTCCTTTTCCTTGCCTAATTGTTCTCATACAAGTTTTTAGTAATACGCTAAGATAGAAGTTGTGGCCCTGGAGCAGGCCTGCAGATCTTGGCCTCAGCTGTGGTCTCTGAAGCAGCCCTGTGTCTGTACATTTGAAGGATCTAACAATGATTACAATTTGGCAGGTAAAGAACTCCTTTTGTTCTGTCCTCATGCTGATGAGATTACCTCTGCTTTTGATGGTTGTGTTACCAGAGATTTGGACAGTCATGGATTCTTTCTAGGCCCTGGAAAGATTAAATTTCCTTGAGGACATTATCTGTATGGCAGGCAGTAAGGTAGGGTTTTGAAGTTTGTCTGCATATGATAGGCCAAGTACCAGGTGTATGAATGGGTTTGGCTTCTACTGACAACTGGGGAACAGTTTTCACAGGTCTCTCTTGAGTCCGTGAGTATGTACAACTGGCCATGGACTGTGACTGTGAGGGCTAGAACTGAGTCACATGGCTGCTGCAGGGACCATAGCTAAGGCCAAGATCTGTAGGCCTGCCTCCAGGGCCATGGCTGCGTGTGTCTCCTGGCAGTCTCTTGAAAGGAAGGACCACTTGTGTACTCTAGCTGAGAGGAGTTTGAGACAGGTTGCAGAACTGCTTCAGCATCCTTAATAAGACCAAGCTTAGTGTACCATGTTTTGTCTGCAGCCATGTCTATGGGCTCTTGAGTTGGCCACCTGGGTGAGGGCCTGCTTTTTCCAAATACCCCTACTTGATTTTTGGCTCCACTGAGGTTTCACAATCCTAACCAAAGGCAAGTACCTTTCTACTTAGGTTTTCTGTGAGTTTACTACTTAACATATCTTATTTATTCTGTGAGTTTACTACTTAACATATCTTACCTAAGTGGAATCATACACTGTCACTTTGTTAGTGTCTTCACTTAAAATAATGGCTTTAAGATTTATCCTTATTGTAGCCCCTGACAAGATATTTTCATCTGAAGCTAAAGAATATTTCATTGATGTATAAGCCACATCTTTTTAAATCATTCATCTGTTAAGGGACATTTCAATTTTTTTTTTCCTTTTTTACTTTTGTAAATGATATGGTTTGGATCTATGTCCTCATTCAAATCTCATGTCAAATTGCAATCCCTAATGTTGGAGGTGGGGCCTGGTGGGAGGTGATGGGATGATAAGGTTGACTTTTCACGAATGGTTTAGCACCAGCCCCTTTGGTACTGTCTTTGCCATAGTGAGTTTGTTCTCCTGAGATCTCACTTTTTAAAAGCATGTGGCACCTCTCCTTTCACTGTCTCTTGCTCCTGCTCCCACCATGTGAGGTGACTCACTCCTTATTTGCTTTCTACCATAATTGGAAGCTTTTTGAGGCCTCACCAGAAACAGAAGCTGCTATGCTTCCTGTACAGCCTGCAGAACCATGAGCCAGTTAAACCTTTTTCTTTAAAAAAAAAAAAAAAATTACCTAGTCTCAGGTATTTATAGCAATGCAAGAATAAACTAAAACAGTGAATATTGCTGCAGTAAACATAGATGTGCAAATATTTCTGTCAGATACGCTTTGCATATTTTGAGTAAGATGCTCAGAAGTAGAATTAGTGGGTCATAGAATAACTTCATTTTTTTTTTGGAGGAATCCCCTTACATTTTTTGGGGGGCTGTATCACTTTCTTCCTACCAACAATGCACAAGGGTTTCAATTCATCTACATTCTTTACATTTGTCATCTTTTGTTCGCTTGATGTTGGCCATTCTAATTAATACATGATAATACCTCATTGTGGTTTTGCTTTACATTTTTCTAAAGATTAAAAATTTTTCAATAATTGCTTGCTATGTGTATTTATTCTTTGGAGAAACATTTTCATCTGTTCATTTGTTAATCATGTTACTCTGTTGATTTTTTAGAGTCTATTCTGGGTGTTAATGTCTGTCAAATGTATACTTTTTACTTTTTTTTTCTTAGTTGGGACTCTGACTAAATGTTAATTTTAATGTGCAGAGATAAATTTAATGTAGTCCCATTTTTCTGTGTTTTTAAATGTGTTACTCATGTAGTTGATGTTATATGCAAGAAAACATTGCCAAGACCAATGTCATAATCTTTCTTCCTGTATTTTCTTCTAAAAATTGTAGAGTTATGCTTCTTACATTTAAATATTTAATTTATTCAAGATAGTTTTTGTATATGGTTCAGGATTTTAAATTTTTATGAGTACACAGTAGCTTTATGTATCTATGGGTCACATGAGATATTTTGATGTAGGCATGAAATGCATAAAAATTATATCAGGATAAATGGGTATTCATTACCTCAAGTGTTTATTCTTCGTTTTATAGACAACCTAACTACATTCTTTTAGTTATTTAAAAATGTACAATTAAGTTGCTTTTGACTATAGTCACTCTGTGTACTAGCAACTACTAAATCTTACTCTTTCTAATTATTTTTCTACCCATTAATCTTCCCCACTTCCCCCAAACCCCCACTACACTTTCCAGCCTCTGGTAACAATCCTTCTGTTCTCTGTCTCTATGAATTAATTTAATTTTTGCTCCAGCAAATGTGTGAGAACATGCAACATTTACCTTCATGTGCCTGGCTTATTTTTCTTAACATAATGGCCTCTAGTTCCATCCATGTTGTTGAAGATGATGGGATCTTGTTCTTTTTTATTATTGAAAAGTACTTTGTTATGTATGTGCACCACATTTACTTTGTCCATTCATGTAATGATAGACACTTAGGTTGCTTCTAAATTTTGGATAATGTGAACACTGCTGCAGTAAAAATGGAGGTGC